GAGATGAGTCCGTGCTTTCCGAGCTGCGCTCCAAAAGACGGAATGCAGAGACCTATGAGAAGATCTCTAAAGCCATGGCAGAGAGAGGATACAGCCGGGATGCAACGCAGTGCCGCGTGAAAATCAAGGAGCTGAGACAAGGCTACCAGAAGACCAAAGAGGCAAACGGACGCTCCGGATCCCAGCCCCACACATCCTGTTTCTACGAGGCACTGCATTCCATCCTAGGTGCGGCCGCCACCACTACCCCACCCCTGACCGTGGACTCTGAGGATGGGATATTGTCCGCGGCCGGTTCCTCAGCGGACGGGGAAGAGGAGGAAGGAGATGAGGAGGACGAGGCAGTCGACAGCGCTTACAACGCTGATTTGCCCGACAGCCAGGAGCTCTTCATCACCCTCACAGAGATCCCCTACCAACCCTCCCCAGCCGTTATCCCAGACACAGATTCAGGGGAAGGATCAAGCAGTAAGTGTTTTAAATATCTAAACATTTATTTATAACATAACTGGCATATTTAAAATATTAACAATAGGTAAAGTGCTTTAAAACATGTAAACATTTATTTACAACAAAACAGGAAGATTTAAAATATTAACAGTGGGTAAAGTGCTTCAAAACATGTAAACAGGAAAGTCCAAAAAAACGGGAATCTGTGCAAAGTGTATCATGATTAGTCTGTCTTTGGGCGCTTCAATATATAGTCTATTTTCAAAAAATTTCACAATGTCTGCTTCATGATTATAATGCCCAAAATGCTGCACTCTTTTGTCCCTCCAAGGGCACCTAACCCAAAAACTGGTCAATGTATCCGGGGATAGAGGCGACATCCTCCGGGGAGAACTCCTCATAGGTCTCCTGCAGGTGTTTTTCAAGCCTCACGAGCAGGTTCCTGGGCAGGGAGAGCTTGTTAGGCCCCCCGTGGTATGAGACGTTTCCCTGCCACAACACCAGCAGGTACTCGGGGATCATGGCCTTGCAGAGCATTGCAGCAAATGGCCCCGGTTTCTGCAGGCTGTCACGAAGCATCCGCTCCTTCTGGCTCTCCGAGACCTTCAGGAGGGTGATGTCTGGCATGACTCCCTGCTGTGAATTAGGTAGGGGAAAGTTAGTATTGGGACTGCTTGCCCGTCCCTTTACAGAACTGCAACCGCCGGTTTACAGCCACGCGGTTTACAGCCGCGAGGGGGTGGGACAGGGCCAGAGTTCATGCTTGCAGGATTGCTGCCAGCAGAGACTCGCATTGCTTTCTATGCGAAAGGAGGCCAGTGCCACTCTTAAAGTTTTAAGCAGCCACAAGTCTACGGCTTACCATGTTTGACAGCTAGACAAAGTCCGGTGTCCTGCCCTGCTCCTCAGCTCGCCACAGCAAGACCGCAGGCACTGTAGGCGAGGGCCGAAAATTCGACCTTGTCCTCAGTGCGCGTGTGATAGGTGCTCTGCATGGTCTTGTTGAAAGACTATGTTCTCTGTTCACAGATACATTGATCTGTCTCAGGAATTCACTCCCTTTTTCCAATTCCCACAGCCACATCTGCCCAGAGGCTAGCGCACATTAGGAGGAGGAAGAAGAGGACACGGGAAGACATGTTTGCTGAACTAATGGGATGCTCCCGAGCACAGGCAGCCCAGCAGACACAGTGGAGGGAGAACTTGTCCCAAATGCACCGGGCAAACATGGAACGGGAGGAGAGGTGGCGACAGGAGGACTGGCAGGCTACTCAAACGCTGCTTGGACTAATGAGGGAGCAAACGGACACGCTCCGCCGCCTTGTGGATGTTCTGCAGGACCGGAGGCAGGAGGAGAGAGCCCCGCTGCAGTCTCTCTCTAACTGCCCTGCCCCGCCACCAAGTCCCATACCCCCCTCACCCAAAGTCCAAACACGGAGGGGCGGAAGGGGCCGTGAAAAATTTCACTCCACCCCTGCGGACTGCTCTACCACTAGAAGGCTCTCATTCCCCAAAATTTGAAAAGTCCTTTCCTACCCGCCTCACACAAGACCCCGTCCAAGTTTCACCCCCCCGTTCCCTGTGCGGTTGTTAATAAAAAATACGTTTTTGTTCATTATTGTTTCCATCCTCTTCTTTTAGATGAGAGTCTGTCTGAAGGGGGGGGAAGGGGCTTGGTAATTGGACAGGACAGTCACCTTTAGCAGGGGGCAGGTCCAGCAGCAGGGCACATATACAGTGCAGTGACTAGTTATCCTGGTCAGTCTGGGAGGTGGTTTTCATGTTCTGTGTGGTGGGGGGGGGTGGTGTTGCTCTGTGACTTGGTGGCGGGGGAGGGCAGTTACAGATCTTATGCAGCGGTCCTTACCCTGGATCACAGAGCCGCGCAGCAGGGGATCTGTAACCCTCCTCCCCCTGCAAGACAGTCACATAGCCGACACATACACGCAGTCCCGGCCAGGAGGGCTGGCAGGCTCCGTTGAAACAACCAGTCCACCACCGCGGAGCCTGTCATTCCTGGAGTTTAGAAGCATCATTTGCATCACAACACTAAACCCGCCCCCCGCCACAGTCTGCGTCCCAGGTTTAAAACATTCCCGCGAAAACAGTAATAAAGACAACGGTGTCCATTAACAAAACAGAACAGATTTTATTTTTTGGGAATGGGGTGAAGGGGGTATGTAACTGGAGAGGATAGTCGACGGCAACTGGGTAAAGAAACGGGGGCAAGTTCAGCTTCTGTGTCCACAAACTTAAAAGTCACTGGGTACCCTGCTCAGCCTTGAAACTGGCTTTCAAAGCCTCCCGTATGCACAGCGCGTCCTGCTGGGCTCTTCTAATCGCCCGGCTGTCTGGCTGGGCGTAATCAGCAGCCAGGCTATTTGCCTCAACCTCCCACCCCGCCATAAAGGTCTCCCCCTTGCTCTCACAGAGATTGTGGAGCACACAGCAAGCTGCAATAACGATGGGGATATTGGTTTCGCTGAGATCACAGCGAGTCAGTAAGCTTCTCCATCTCCCCTTGAGACGGCCAAAAGCACACTCCACCACCATTCTGCACTTGCTCAGCCGGTAGTTGAAGAGTTCTTGTGCAGTGTCCAGGGCCCCAGTATAGGGCTTCATGAGCCAGGGCATTAGCGGGTAGGCTGGGTCCCCGAGGATCACTGTAGGCATCTCCACATCCCCAACAGTTATCTTGTGGTCCGGGAAGTAAATACCTTCCTGCAGCCGTCTAAACAGACCAGAGTTCCTGAACACGCGAGCGTCATGAACCTTGCCCGGCCATCCGACGTAGATGTTTGTAAACCGTCCCCGATGGTCCACCAGTGCTTGCAGCACCATTGAAAAGTAGCCCTTTCTATTGATGTACTGGCTGGCCTGGTGGCCCGGTCCCAGGATAGGGATGTGAGTCCCATCTATAGCCCCACCGCAGTTTGGGAATCCCATCGCAGCGAAGCCATCTATGATGGCCTGCGCGTTTCCCAGGGTCACTACCTTTGACAGCAGTACCTTGACGATTGCCTTGGCTACTTGCATGACAACAACCCCCACGGTAGATTTGCCCACGCCAAAGTGGTTCGCGACTGACCGGTAGCTGTCCGGCGTTGCAAGCTTCCAGAGGGCTATGGCCACTCGCTTCTGGACAGTCAGGGCTGCTCGCATGCGGGTGTCCTTGCGCTTCAGGGCAGGGGACAGCAACTCACAAAGTTCGAGGAAAGTCCCCTTCCGCATGCGAAAGTTTCGCAGCCACTGGGATTCATCCCAGACCTGAAGCACTATGCGGTCCCACCAGTCCGTGCTTGTTTCCCGGGCCCAGAATCGCCGTTCAACAAAATCCACATGCCCCATTGCCACCGTGATGTCCTGGGCGCTGGGGCTCGTGGTTTCTGACAGCTCTGTGCTACTCTCCGACTTCAGGCCCTCACGGCGGTGCCGTAGCCTCCTCGCCTGATTTCTCTGCATCTGCCTCAGGGAAAGGTGTATGATAAGCTGCGAGGTGTTGAGAACGGCCACAACTGCAGCGATGGTCGCAGCGGGATCCATGATCGCAGTGCTGTGGCGTCCGCGCTGTCACTGATCAAAAAGTGCGCGAACTGATTTCCCGCCGGCGCTTTCAGGGAGGGAGGCAGGGCGGTAGTGACTGACGGATGACGACAGTTACCCAAAAGCACCCTCGCCACATTTTTTTACCCAGACGGCATTGGCGGATCGACCCAGAATTCCAATGGGCGGCGGGGACTGCGGGAACTGTGGGATAGCTGCCCACAGTGCACTGCTTCCAATGTCGACGCTTGCCCCGTTAGTGTGGACTGACAAAGTCGAATTACTGTCCTTAGTGTAGACACATACGTTCGACTTTCTAATATCAATTGCACATATTCGATTTAACTAAAATCGAACTACTCTCGTAGTGTAGACATACCCTAAGACTCTTCACCTTTCTATAGGTATTTGGGCTTTAGGAATAAATATATTCGTTCTTTATTATGTTTAGACAGGTTTTTTACATCCTCATTTCTATTTCCATTTCTATTTTATTAAATGTGAAGCTCTGAATAATACAGAAATTATGTACAGGTTAGTGGTGTGTAGCTGGCCTTTAAATTCTATAAACTTGTGCATATAATTATGAAAATCTTTATTTTCATACCAAGCTCAACTGAAGCTTAAAATTAACTTTTTTTAAAAATCCCTATTGTTGTTTGTAATGGACACATCTGAGCATTCATGCTATAAATTCTTCATTTACCTCCTTTGAATTAATTTAAGTTTCAGAACAAAAAAAGCTATTGAACTGATAGCAGTAGAAGAGGAAATGCTTCCCTGCTATCTTATTATCTCTGTCTTTAGCATAGTGGTGAAACATAATTCATAAATGTAAGGACACAGCAGTTATTTGGGTTTCATTAAAAGGGGAAAGGATGTGCATTAATTTTTTTTTTTTTCAAAAGGATTATGACGATGTCATTCAATTTTACAGGGCTTCTTACCAGATTGCAAACTACAGCTCCCACAGTACGGACTTTATCAATGTCACACTCCTTGACTCAAAAAGTTCCATGCTCTTTGTGGAAACTGGGGCGACTCAATCATGTAGCAATTGCGGTACCTAATTTGGAGAAGGCCCAGTCTTTTTACAAGAGTGTTTTAGGAGCCCAGGTGAGTGAGACGGTTCCTCTTCCTGAACATGGCGTCTACACTGTTTTTGTGGAGCTGGGAAACACAAAGCTAGAACTGCTGCACCCTCTGGGAGAAAAAAGTCCAATTGCAGGCTTTCTGCAAAAAAACAAGGCTGGAGGAATGCATCATATCTGCATTGAGGTATTATACACGCATACTTTCTATTATGTTTTTAAAAAAATCTTTATATTGTTAAAGAGCTTCATACTTTCTAATAGAATCAACCTGAATAAAAACCCACATTGGTTATGCTGAGTCATTATCATTTGGGAAATTCTACTGAAGACCAGCAAATAAAAAGTGAAGTTGCAGTATGAAATTCAGGCCAATTTCACATTGTCATTATACAAGCAGCTTTATTTTCTTTTTAATCTCCCCAAACTGAATTTGGCATTTGTCCCCATTTCTTTCAGCCCGGACATTACAAACTCATGGAATGTAGCAATGTCCTGCAAAGGTCACTAGACAGGTGGCAATTTCAGGATGTTCAAAATACATGCACTGGAAAAACCTGTGTGTGTCAGTTTTTATAGATCACTTATAACGGGGTGCACAAGTGTAAATTAGGGCATAATTTGAAGACAGTGCGATTTTACCAGAGTTCCTGCATTTGATATTTAGTTGAAAATTCAATCTGCAAGTCAGAAAAGAATCCCGGGAAAACACACAGAGCTGTGTTTGGTTCTCAGAGATGAGAGTAGTAAAATCTTTTTTCAGGTAATCAGAGATGGATCTGGATATTCACAGGGAGTAGAACTACTGAGCAAGGTGGTGTTTGTTTTTTTACAATTACTTTTCAGAATAGAATCAAAGTTAAAAGTCATCACAATATACACTTAGTTGTGTTGCATATTGTATATGGTCCTCATACTTTATAGGGCCCCATCTCATAAACACACATGCGTATCTTTAATCATTCGAGAAGTCCTGTTGAACTTAATAGGACTACTCACATGAATAAAGTTAAATTGATTGCCAGATTGTGTCCATAAACTATAAGTATAGTAAATTACATACTTACAAAGAAAAACAGAAAATTCTTCACATGCATAACATATCCAAGTTTTTCCCCTAAATTAAGCCTCCATATTTTCAAAGTAGAGACTGTCAGTATAGACAGGCCAGTCACCGTATAACATTGCTCAAATGACATGTAGAGCAGTTGGTATCACAAACCCAGCAGCTCACATTATTCTTACACTTCTGAATTTTCATACATTTTCTGTAATACAAAATTATAAAAATTGGATAGGACAACTCTCAAGCTGTTAGATTAAATCTTTCTCATAAGGGTGTAAATATCAATTACTTAAATCCATCCTAACTTTTTTTTTTTTTGGCCTGGGATTATAGGAATCCTCAGCTTTAGACTTTATGCAGACAGTTAACTCCATTAATACCTAATATTGTGATAGCTATTTTACCTGAAACTGAAAGACACCTTCATGCTTTTAAAGTCTTTTATCTGTGCTAAAGTCTGTAAATTGATACTTTGTGTATTAATTTCCTATTTTCTTTATCACAACTGAAATATTATAATTGCCCTGAATATTTATTATTTAATATTAAAACTTTAGGATATATTCTCCACTGAACAAGAAAATAATCTTGAAGGTAGTGGATTGGTATTAACAAGTAACATTCAAAAATAGTATTGAGTGTCTAGATGGAAACTCCCCAATTTTCAGTTGCTATGGAAATTTGTCATTGACTGTAGAACAGATACAAGTGAAGATTCAAACAAAAAGCCTTAATTAATTCAGATGTTCTTACATATGAATTGGAAGCTTGTCATGTATAGAAAAAAGGCTACAATTGGCTGTTTATGAGACAGGGAAAACAAACTCCCACATTCGACTATCTGTTGGAATAGTAGAAGGACTATAGGGCAGCATTGAGTTGACAGGCTAGGGGAAAATCTTGCTCATTAATAGTTGCACTTATATCGGTCTTTCACAGAAGGAACTCAAAACATTTCACAAACATAAAAAAGGTATTCCCATTTATAAAGGCATTAAATGAATCATAGTGAGTTTAAATTAGTTGTTCTAGGCTAGATAGTAAGTCAGTGGTAGAGGAGGGAATGGAACACAAGAGTCTTGGCTACCAGTCCCCTGCTTTAACTCCTTCCAAGGCTGAATGTTTTATATTGACAATTACAGATTCTGTTTGTGATTCAGGCTAGCACAGAGTTCCTGGACTGAAATTGTTCTATTCGCATGGCTCAATAGTTTAGAGCCTTGGTAAAGTATTAAATCATATTAGTCTATTTCTGCAGTAATAAGTTACTTTAAATAAATCCTTTTAATTAATGATTTACACAGGAAAAAAAACAGAACCAACAAGACAAAAGGTGGAGGGAGGGGGGCAATGATTTGCCCATGTATGGCAGTGTGTGATTATGCAGAATGCTGTTTAAGCATATTGAATGTTAATACAAGCGATGATATAGTGTATCATTCATGATTGTGGGGGGAAATGGGACAAAAAGCATGCTTTTATTAGTTCTCTTTTCCAGTTCTTTAATTGATTGTCCTTTTGAATAAGATGCATTTTTGCTGCATTAAATTATGATCTACCATTTCCAGAAAAATACAGTTCCTTTTCAAGAAGTGTAGACTTTTCCCCACAGGAGTAAATTTCTGCCTATGGCTGTGTGTCAGGGAGGGATGACTATCCCGCCTTCCATTTCCCAAACAATGAGGAGGAGGGAGGGGAACATTTTTAAGCCCTTATCCTGTAAACACTAACGCTTGGCCTACACTAGGAAATGTGGTCAGTATAACTACATCACTCAGGGGTGTGAATTCTCCTGTTGACCTGGCTACTACCTCTCGGGGAGGTGGAGTACCCATGCTGGCAGGAGAAGCTCTTCCATGGACATAAGTAGTGTCTTCACAGAAGTGCAACAGCGGCACAGCTGTGTTGCTGCAATGTTTTAGGTGTAGGCTTAATTTTACTACTGTGACTAGTCCCCTTGAAATCAAATTTAAGCGCGCACACACACACACACACACACACACACACACACACACACACACACATATATAGTGGATAATAAATCAGAGAAATTCAGTAGATCGGAATGTTTTATATTTCGTGTAACTACTATATCTATTTGCAGTTCAAGAAATTAAAATAAAAGACTAATTCAATCTACTCAGATTGCTGTTAAGCAGAATTGTTTTGCAGTGCTGTTAGAAGAATGTAAAAGACTACAGCAGAACTCAGGAAGTGGGGGTGGGGAAGACAGGAATAATATGTGGTAAGGGCTGTTTAAAAAAAACCCAAACTGCTAAGTAATAGAAATAGCAACACTACTTAATTACAGATACAAAGAGAGGAACAAACTAGGAATCTTTAAAATGACTATATCTACTTAAATCTTTTAGGAGCTGGAGTGTTGTTTGTTTGTTTGTTTGTTTCAAAGATACTTCAAGAAGCATTCTGTTAGCAACACTGATGTTATTCCATGTAGAGCTCTGTTCAGCAAGAGATCTGTGACCTTTCATGGTGCAGAAGTTACCAAAGATGACTGTCAAAGGATGGCATACTGTTAAGTCTGAAAAATACAAGAAATTTGGCACTCAGTATTTTTACATTTCCCAGCAAGGGATGACTATGTTAAAAAGAAATGTATATTTTCAGATGTAACAGGTCAAGTGAGCCAAGATCCACAAAATCCAGGAGTCAGAGTTTAAATTAAATGGATGAGAAGGGGCTCTTGGCAGCTAGAATTTTGCAAGAGATTCTGAGTGCTAAAATGTCTCTAAACAAATTCAAAAGAGTTCAGATAAGAGCATCAATAAAGGCTTCCTATAGCTCTAGGGCTTCCATTAGGATGGCATGGTTCCTATGTAAGGCCAAATGACAATGAGCAGCTCTAGTCTAGCCTAAAAAAATGACCCATTGTAGTGGGGTTGAAAATAATTTGCTACTGGCAAAGAATGGTCAGAACACTTTAACACCAGTTACAGAAAGCATATTGGACACCTGGTGGAACAGGAGAGGAACCTGTTCTTGATACACACAGTCACTAGGCAGATATTTTCCTAATGGAGATGCACCCAGAGACTCTCACAAGTCACTCTCATTATTATCCCTTGGGATGCAGTAATTCACTCCAGCTGAGCCCAGCCACATTTCTCCTTCTGGCTGGTTTAGCTAGCTATCTCTGCAGGAAGTGCAGGCAGCTATGATGATTTCTCTACTCGGGATGAACCTCAAGGGGTTACTACCCATCACAGAAGGTATTACACTTGCTAATTTTAGAGAATCCTTAATTACATTTTTTTAAAAGCAAACTGGCAACTTCAGGATTTTTAAAAACAAATCTCAATTGAAAAGGATTAGGACTTAGTGCAAATGCAGAGGAAGTAGAATTCAATTATGTAAAGTTTATGTTTTCACAATTACGTCTTTTAAGCTTACCCATTTAGCTATGTCCAGGCACTTCAGTCTTGAAAAACAGCGCTCCTTTTATTGTAGTGCCAGGACTTTATTAACTGATAGTTGTGCTAAACTAAATGTTAATTTTGTTCTTCCAACAAGCATGCATTAGAGATCTGGGTGAATCAAAGTCTCACTTTATATTAGCACATCCAAAGTAACAACCATTTGGCACAACTTAAGGACTAGTCCATGTTAAATACTGTTATTAGGTTGCCCTGAAATTATATGTGTAATGCTACTTTTACTATGAAGTACAATTGCCCAATAGGAAAATGGACCATAGTCCAGTGTGTATTACCCTCTAGTATTCTTGGTAGTTCAAGGTGTCTCTGAGGAGACCAGTTTATACCAAACCTAACTCTGGTAAGATCAAGATGAACCTAAGTGAATGGTACATAACCCCAGGATTTAATGAGTCAGGATTCTGACTTCAGTTAGACAGGAAAACATTCCTTGCTTAATGATATTCTAAAGCTATACAATCTACTATTTAGGAACAATGTGGAGTTTATAGCTATTGATTTTGATTATTTATGAATTTTGCATTATAAAGTAACTAAAAGGTTGATGTATTATAGGGGTGAATCTCTTAACAAACATAACTATTAAATATAGTACAAAATCTTCTTTACATGTTACATTTATTGATAAAATCTCCAGGTAACTGCATATTTCTGTAACATTTTTGGTTTTTAGAATTATGTAGTGCTTTATCTTTATTATGGCACTACACTATTGTTCCTAATGTAAAATCTGTGAATCATATACTTTAATGTTCCACATTGTATACATGTTTATTTTTATAAGGTTGATGATATAAAAGCAGCTATGACAGAACTGAAGGAAAAGAAGATCCGAATATTGAGCGAAGAGCCCAAAATAGGGGCGCATGGCAAACCAGTGATTTTTCTCCACCCTAAAGATTGTGATGGAGTCCTTGTAGAACTTGAGCAAGCCTGAGCTGCAATCCTAAAAGATGAAACTATGAACTAATTGCAAACCTAATGAGATGGTGTTGGAATTTGTATTATGCCTTGCACTGTGTAAAAGTCATTGTACTTGATTCTTTCTTGTTGATTAAACACATTACAGCTCTTAAGTTGTGAAATGTGGGGAAATAACACTACATACAGGAGGAAGCTAAAGCACTGTTAACCCTCCTAGTCATTTGGGGCTATGACTTTTGTTTTGTTGTTCAGACCTTCAAAAATAATACATTTAAATGTGTTTGGATTCCGTTAGACTATGAATTCAAACAGTAACATGAGCTGAGGTACAGTTATATCACAGTTTGCAGCATAATTTTTATATATAGATTTCTAGGTTACCCCACATAATTTTGCTCTATATTACCCACTATCCATGATAAGAAGATGGCTCAGATATTCCTGTAAGAAAGAAGTCTACAAGAGAACATTTTATTTTCTGTCTCCACCATTATAAGCATTATCTAAGCTTCACATTGATTGGTTCATTCAATTATAGGATCCTTGTGTTATTGTATGGATGTCTGCGATCGCTAAGCAACTGTTCTCTATCATAACAATTGCTGCCAAGAAAACTGTTGTGTCTAAATCACCATTTTGTAGCTTTATGTATTACATGTATATGAAAAAAAAAATCAAGATTGATAGGGGAATAATTGGTTTATTTTAAATATACTGTGATTAATAAATGCTTATTTTGTTTTAGTTTTGTCAGCATATATATCTCTGGTTTTTAAATTTAGCCCATACTGATTTATTCTGTTTTCTTCCTAATTGATCTCAAGTGCCTGCACTGAAACCTGACTCTTAGGAAAATATCTGGGACATACAAAAAAAAAAGGCTAGTGACTAATATTTAAAATATTTTGTTTTCCTATACAAAAACAGTTTCAAGTGCTATCTTATTAAAATTTGTATGAATTTTTATTTTACCAAGAGATAAATAAAGCCATCTAGGTCCTGATGCTGCAAATACTAACTTTACATCTGTGAGTAGTTCCACTGAAGTCAGTGAGACTACTCATGTTTGAGTGTTTGCTAGATTGGGACCATAGTTTATAAGTGGCCAAATCCTGTTCATTTTATTCTCAAGAAGGCTCCTCTTCACTTTAATGAAGCTAATCATATGAGTAACATAAACACCAGTTGGCCCAATCTCTTCTTTTACATTTGGGGGGGGGGGGGAAGAGTGGGCATCTACAGCAGAAATAGAAATTGCATATATGAAGGCCACATCTTTAAATGTCAAATAAATAATAAAGATCTTTAAAGGATTTATAAAGAATCAGATTGTTCTGTATTTTATAGGATAAAACATATAAAGGAAGTGTTTCGTTTCTTTTAGGAACAGTTTTTTTTTTTAATCCAGTTTTAATCCACAATAGTGCCCAATTATTATGGAAGTTAAATAATTTGTGCTTTATTTCCTGTTTGCTGCAATAAAAACAGATATATTATGGTGACCTGAGTCAGATTTAATCAGGACTTTGAAGATGCAGAAAGCTTGTATGGTGTTCTTCTGAAGCCAGAACCTTAATAATGCAAGAAATCAATTTTTATACATTAAAGGTGTTAACTTTGTACTCAAAGCTCTATTCCTACCTGAGAACCAATTTTTACTTCAAGGAAAATGGATTGAGCCTTGTGCAGGGCTATTACATCTGTTCAGTGAACTGTTTATAGAATAGTGAGATTCTGCAAGTCTAATTTTGTAGATAACTAAGCCAGTGAAAGGTAGGTAAGTACTTAATTTTTTCCCCTGAAATTTTATTCTGCTAGTCTAGAAATCCTGGTTATTATTTTAGGTAGGGCTGCTTTTATTTTCAGATCATTTGAGGAACAAGAGGCTTTTTTTTCTTTTCTTTCAGAATGGATCAAGAATTAAAATGTCAAGATTATAGTTTTTTTGTTGGCTAAAATTATTGGATACTTGTCTTTGAACCTGAGACTGTTGGGTTGGGCTGGTATCACAATACACCTCTATCCCGATATAACGCTGTCCTTGGGAGCCAAAAAATCTTACTGCGTTATAGGTGAAACCGCGTTATATTGAACTTGCGTTGATCCGCCAGAGTGCACAGCCCCGCCCCCCTGGAGCACTGCTTTACCATGATATATCCGAATTCATGTTATATCGGGGTAGAGGTGTAATTGGAGTAGAAGGATTACCAGGTTAAAATTCCTTTCTTCCCCCTTTGTCCTATTTAAAGAACATTAGTGGGTTTATATGCCCTATGTTGATTGAGGACTAGCTTGACTTGGTAGTAGGTAAGGTTGACCAAGAGTGGATGAGGGTCTTGAGTGAACAGGACTTTTTTTTTTTAAATCTGATATGTTTTTCTTCATACAGTGTCTGCTACAGCACCCCAACGGATCTTAATCGGTTTCCTAGGTAGTCATGAGTACCTATCTGCCATACAGTATTTGCAGCAACAATTACCAGCAAGTTCTCAACTAATTGACTTTAGAGAGGGTTCCATGGGGAGTTGGCAACTGCTGCCTTTGCTCACTGTAACTATCTCATTTTGGGTTGGGGGTAAAAACTTAAATCACTGAACACTTTGTAGAAAATAGGGTCTCACCTTACTCTGAAGAGAGCACACACTATATACATTAAAACTTATTCTCTCTTTAGAGGAACCGGACATTCAAAAATAAGCCTAAACTGATAAACCCAAATTTAGCCACTCTCACTACCTACAGGAAAGACTCTCCAAGCCCTCTTATGCTACTAGATTGGAGCTAATTGGACATGCCTGCTCTCACTTTCAGCACTTCAGGGGCTGCTCAGCGCCTTACCATATCAGGTTGTTTGTGTGCTTGCCTAGTCATGCCCCGAGGTAATTTTTTCCTTTCTTTCAAAGGTCCCCACACAGCCAAAAGCCAAACTAGAAATGTTCTTTAAATCTGATCTTTGGTCCTTATGGCAATATAGGACTTCTTAAATAGCCAGACCTTAACTAAAGATGGGGCCTGAAGTACAAATCCAAAGTTTGTGGATATTCAGATGCAGACATTTGGCTCACACCCATCTCTAACTATAAATCCCAAAAGAAAACCAGATCCTTCCTTCATTTCTCCCCAAAGGGATGTAGGCACTCTCTACTACTCCTAGATATAACAGGATGTGCTAGCCCCTTAAGTCAGGCTTTAGATCAATTTCTAACCTGTTCCTGGTGCCAGTTCAGAGGAATACTGGGATTTGTAGTTCCAAGGGCTGATAAGAGTTGCAGGCTCTGAGGCAAAGCATGCTGGGAAGGGGGCAGGCTGTGTTTTCTTCAGACTAGTGATAGGCTGGGAGTATTAAAGCTGGGGATAACCTTGCAAGTTGGATTATCTTGGAAGGAATCTCAATGAGAACTGGATGGCTGGGAAGGGGGAGGTGGGGGAACTTTGTTTATTTTGGGGTGGGAGCAGGGCTGGTGCAAGGAAGTTTTGCGCCCTAGGCGAAACTTCCACCTTGCGCCCCACCCCCCCAGCCCTGCGGCAGCTCCCTGCCCTGAGGCCCCCGCCGCGGCAGCTTCTCCCCCCGCCCCTGAGGCACCCCCCCCTCTAATTCTCCTCCCCTCCCAGGCTTGCGGCGCCAAACAGCTGATTGGCGCCGCAAGCCTGGGAGGCGGGAGAAGTGGAGCAGCGACGGCATGCTCGGGGAGGGGGCGTAGCAGAGGTGAGGACGCCTCCCCCAAGGCAGCTTCCCCCCTCCGAGGCACCCCCGTGGCAGCTCCCCACCCTCCCGGCCCGGGGAGCCGTGCGGCAGCTCCCCACCCCAGCTCACCTCTGCTCCGCCTCCTCCCCAAGCACGCCGCCCCCGCTCTAATTCTCTTCCTCTCCCAGGCTTGCGGTGCCAAACAGCTGATTGGCGCTGCAGGCCTGGGAGGTGGGAGAAGTGGAGCGGCGACCGCGCGCTCGGGGAGGAGGCATAGGAACGATGTAAAAAAAAATTGGGGGCACCGCTTTTTGGCCCCCCCAAATCTTCATGCCCTAGGCAACCACCTAGTTTGCCTAAATGGTAGCACCGGCCGTGGGTGGGAGTATAATCTTGGAAAGGATGACGATTCCTAGGAAGTAGAACAGGAAGTGGCCTTGGGCAGTGAAGCATAGAGGGCATGAGCTCTGGCTAAATGCTTCTTTTTGGGGTGGCCTTAAGGCTGAAGTTCCTGGTGCTGGTAGATAGTCACTCCTCACTCCACTTCATCAAAGGACACGCGCTTGTGCAGACCCTTGGTGAAGAGCCTATGACACAGAAACAGAGCGGGAGGAGGGAAACGGTGAAGAATTCAATTTGGGCTTTTGTTAGCCTGAGGAGAGGCTAGCTGTGGCAATAAATGTAAAACAAATGTAAAGACTATCTCTTCCTCTGGATGAAGAAAGAACTGAGGAGGAAAGTTGCCTGCTGTCTTACTCATTGATAAGGTAGGAGATTGTGATGCATACAAAAGCAGAATACGTTAAAGACCACCCAGCCTATTGCAAGCTATTAATTAACTGGGAAAAGTGGAATCCTCTTTGTGGTGAATTTCAAGGTGCTTTCTAATGGCAAATATTTTTCTATAGCAGCCCTCACCTGGAGGAGTTTGAAGCATGCTCCATTGACCAAAGTTTCCCTGTCTCTAAACTTTACCATAGGTGACAGAATAAATTTCTATATAATCTTAAAACACTCATCTTTCTAAATTCCTCTTTCAAAGCAGTGGTAGTCACGGGTGGTTTCCACCTTGCAGGACTTCCCATCATGTGCACCTTCCCATCATGTGCACACACAAAATACTGTTGCACTCGCCTCTAACCATGGGTCACCTAACAGAAAATCTGTTCTGTTCTGATGTTTGATTTCTCCCCCCCCCGCCCTCTAATTTTTTGGAGCAGGATGGAACAGATGTACACAAATGTCTATAAGCCTTTGTAAATATAAAAATCATCTTGTGTTTAAAGAATTGCAATCACCCAGTGTACTTCTGGTAGATCCAGAATTGGCTAGCTTTTTAGCTGGATGTGATGTTTTGATGACTGGTCAAACCTGCTTTAGTGGTGTTACCTGACTTCGCTGAATGCATTGTCAGGCTGTGGTAACTTTGATTTCAGTTATAAATTTAGCTTTAGTCAAAATGGAATAATTTATCATACATCTAATATAATGTGTGTGAAACATGGGAATATTACATGCTGTAGGATGCATAATTTAAGCCTGATTTTCTGAACTGCTAACTTGCAGTAGCAGTTCTACTTTTCATTGATGTACAATATATTTTATATTATGAAATTAAAAAATAAGGTAGCCTCATAACAAAGGTAAA